TACTCTTCTAAACTCCCACACCAACTCTTTAGGTGGGTGACGATGCTGTTTCAATCCTTTGATTTCTGCTTCAGCCTCCTCCCAGTTCACCAGGTCTTCAAAATGTGCTCTCAAGGACTGCACAAATTCTTCCACATCTTCTAACTCAGGGGCTCCTTCATCATGGAGTTGGGTGATCCAATTGGCCATTTCCCCTTCTCTCATGTTATCACCAATCATGTCCTGGTCTGATTGATATTGTGCACCATAACGATCAATGTGAGCCCAAATCCAGTTGAGGAAGTAGGACAGTTTGCCTGGGGTGCCATCAAAGGTGACCAGGAATGGGGTAATAGCTAGAGGAGGTACAGCTGCGGCTGGAGGAATTGGCAGTGGAGTTGGAGCCGGCATCCACTGGTACTGGATCCACCCATATCAGGGATAAAAAACCCATCCAGGTGGAACTTGGTCTGCAATCGGCATTCCTGGTGGTGCTGGTGGTGCTTGTTGGATTGGCCTGAGTGCACCTGCCTGTCTGCCTCTGTTCCCAGGGCTTGATCAGTCCGGTGGCCCTGGGAGTCATCCTGCTGCAATGGATGACTGGCTGGACTCACACTCACAGTTCAAATTTTTCGGGTAACCCAACTAGCAACTGACTCTGTGATGCCGGTTGAAGTCTCCACTCTTGAAACTCGCCAGCCTCTATGGATTGCAATGGTCTCCACTTGTAGGCAGCTCCAGCTCCCTGTTGCCACTGTGCTTCCAGAGGTGGGGGAACACCAATCACTGGTTCTGTCAGCAGGGTCTGCCAAAGGTGAGTTAGAGGCATTCCAATGGCTGGCCAGCCCCAGGAGGAGGGGAGAGCTGTAACTAGGCAACCAGCTGGTATCCAGATTGGACAATATGATTTATTGTTTTGAGAAGACTGGAAACTTTTTCTTTTAACGTTGTGAAAAGCCCAGGAAGATTCAGAACTGGTTTTTTACCAGTTTGTACCAGAATGTTATTTCCAATAAAAATTGTTCTTTGAGGAATTGAATTGCCTCAGAGTTCTGATTTGCAACGGCTGTAATTCCTGGAATGCTAACAATAGCTATTTCCAAAGACATTATATTAGGAACGCACTATTAGTATCGGAGAAAATTAAAGAACAACACTATTTGGGTCTCCACAGTGGAGGCATTAATTTACCTAAATGTTACTGATATGGAGAATATTACCAGATATCAAGATATTTTGAATGAAAAGGGAGAACTCAAAACCAAGCAGGAACTGAGTGATCAAGGGATTGAGATAACATGGTGATCATATCTGCAATACAATCTAAATATGAGAAGGATGTCAAAATGTATGGTTTCCATAAAGAATTAGCAGAAATAGATCAGTTGTTAACAGGGACAGATGGAAAATTAATTGGAGAGCTGGGTCAGCTTTATAGTTGCTCCCTATGGGCCAGCTGGGGGTGGGGAGCTTCCTGCAGCACCCTGCGGGCCAAAATGGGCTGCGGGGGGGGGGGGCCCCCCTTAGCCCCCATTTTCAGCCTGGATGGCCTCCTGAAGCACCCTGCCTGCCAAAATGGGCCACGGGGGGGGCCTGTGCCCCATTTTGGCTGGCAGAGTGCTGCAGGAGGCTATCCAGGCCGAAAATGGGGTGTGCAAAAACGGGGTGCCCGTGGCCCGTTTTCGCTAGCAGAGGTGCCATGGGCTGGTCTTTTGCTATTTCCAGGCCAGCTCCATGGTCCGGATCTAAGCACCCTGCAGGCCGGATCCAGCCCACAGTCCTTGAGTTTGACACCCCTGGCCTAGACAGTCACTTGTCTGAAATGGTATAGGTGCTCCTGCTTGATCAGGGGGCTGGACTGGAAGACCTCAAAGGTCCCTTCCAGTTCTATTCTATTCTATTCTATTCTATTCTATTCTATTCTATTCTAGCCCTAAGCAAACAGAAGCTACACAATGTTTACATTGCCCAGCATTAAATACATATTTCTACAACTTTTCTGCTAGTTATGTGCAGTTGTTTACATATTCCAAATAAGAAAATAATTAATATGGCAGGTACAGAAATTTGGTTACCCTTTCATTCTGTACTCTGTAACACTGCCTTTGCCAGAATTAACAGCTTCCAAACTTCCATATTACTAAGAATTATTTTGTTCTTGATTTTGGAATCTTTTCCCACAAACAAGAAGAAATTGAAGCTGAAAAAAGGGAGCATATTTCAGCAAGACAATTAGTCCAAATATATATCCAGATTGGCCATGAAATACAGTACTTCAGATGTTGGAGTTAACTATTTTGGAATGGCATTTGCATTCCCAGATCTGGGGATTACTAAAACTCTAAGTTTAGTGCCTACAAAAAGCAGTAAAACTATTTTGAGCAAGAAGAATTCTGCAAGAAACTTTTGCTCACCTAAGTTTTGAAAGTAATAATAATAATGATAATGTGTGTAACTATGGAGCAACTAGAGGCCATGCCAGCTGTCAGTTTTGGAAGCCAAATTAGTACCAGAAGCTCCTACACTGCCACATTCCTGTGCCTGGGAAAGTGGGAGGGGGGATTTTTAGAATGTTGGTAGTTAGACATAATAGCATTCTTCTTTTAGGTCAAAGTCATGTTATTCCTGCACCTGGAGGAGGAGTGGTTGAAGGGATGTCTCTAGCTGGGGTGGATGGTGATTGGACCATGCGATGGACTGATGGGTGCAGGGGTTGGTTTTGCACTTTTGAATTACTAAGGGAAAACCTGTAATTCTCAGATTTGGGTTTTCCCAGATATACCAGTATAACTACTCTAATAAAAGGAAACTTTGAGAAAATGCCTGTCTCAGAGTTTTAAATTGGAGTTGGGTTTTTCTGGAACCCTGACACTAACAGTTCACTGAAACATTCAATTTGACCAATTGTGTATTACCACAGCACACTTATTTGGGATTAAACTCACTAATGCAGCCTAAACTAACATATAGAATTGTGCTACAAGTAGAATAAGCCACTGTTCATGGCACAATTACTTGGCAGGGGATCTGAACTTTTATTGCAACAAAAAAAAAAAAAAGAACATGAAATCTCCAGTGTCCTAAAATGGATGCAATGCCAAACATTTTCCTCTTTTGGTATTAGTATTTCAACTAAGGACTGGCTGTTGATATTATTTATGGAAATCAAGATTAATAAATAGTACAGCAAAGAAAGGAGAGAAACATTTGCATTCCACAGGAGTGGAGAAATCTAGAAAATTTTTAAAATTTGGTGCAGCTATTTTTGTGCTTGGATTCCCAATAACTTCTCTTTTCTGCAATCCAGAAGGTCCTAGGTTCATCTTGCTACCCACACCTTCTTGTCCATTGAAGCAGAAAATGGGTCGATTTTCTCCTTCACCTTCAATTTTTTTCTTTTGATATTTCCTATAAAAGAATGTTTACTTAATAACCACAATTTCAGCTGGCTGTAAAGCCCTGTATCCAAGTAAAGAATTGGGATAAAGTATCCTCTCCTAATTACTGCAGAAGTCAATATTCTTTGTAATTAATTTGAAAATGAGAAATTCCCTGCTTGGGTAAGGACTGTAATCCTTGCGTCTCTTTGTAGGCTCCACCAATATTATATCCATACTTTGTTATTCTGTAGAGCATGGCTGTTACACCATCTTGTTAATGAGACTCCTGACAATCCTGTCCAGGATAATCCAATATTGTGATATTCCATTTCAGGATATACTGGGAACTTATACACAGATGTCCTATAGCAAAAATCTGGATGAATACTAGGGGGCAGCCAAGAACAACAGTTTTCAATACTTCTTGCATTTGTCTAGATGCTTGCAATCCATGAAGGAAAATGCAGTCAGGTTGGGATTGATTGTACAACTAGACTAGATCCCAACTAGACTAGAATCCAATTCATTGGATTCCCATCCACTGGAAAATTGGATGCAAGGCCTGGAGACCAAACAAAGGGCTGTTTCTGAAGCCACCATTCAAAGCTACAGTTACATCTGTGCACTGTTGGAGCCTCAACATTTTTAATTATGGTGTTGAAATGCTAAATTTTAAATGTGAAATGTATACATTATAAGTACCATTGCACTCTCACTGGGCATTTTTCTTCCTCTACTGTCTGATTTGTTTTTCTAGTCTTAAATAAAGTAATCACAGAAAATTGGGCGTGGGGTTACCAATCAGACCCTATTTACCAGCTCTTCTTTCCTTTCCCATCACTCCTAATTCCAATCTCAGTGCACACACATACACATATCAACTCTCTCCCAGTTGTGTTAGCCCCTTTCCTAAATCGGCACTGAGGCAGCATGACAAAGGAGTTTATGAACTTTTCAGAAGTCATTTAACTAATTTTTAAAACAATACAGCAGTATTCAACTCATGAAAATGTCTACAGACACCACCAACCCCTTCCTCCATCAAGTTAGACCGAGAAGAATCAAGAAAGAATATCCATGCTTTGCACCCTCTTAAGTGAAAATACTGGAAATACTGGATTCAATTAATAACAACACCAATTTATTTCCAGAAAAGAGAAACAATTAATAGCTTCTAAATCTATAAAGATTGCACCAGTCAGGATTGCATATCTACTTTTTAATGAAGTAAGCTAAGTTGCCTTAAATTTCATTTAGTCTTTGTCTAAAATTTCATTATTTTGTATCCTAGCTAGAAAACAAGTTGAAATTTGAAAGGGAAATCAATAGAACTATTTAACCCTTCTCTTCTCACTTCATCATTTGCATAATTAGCAAAATATTTGCAAGCATTGCAGATTTGATGAACTGGAACATAGTCATACATTTGAAAGAAACAGACAATTACAAATGTTCTGTTCATACAACCAAATAATTAACCAGCCTCTGCATTGTTAAATTTTGGACATTTAGCATACAGATCTCCACGGGATCCACTGGGTTGCTAAAGCAGCTCTTCTTTTGTACAAACCTCCATTTCATTTTGCATTTCCCATGGACTGATTTTCAAAGAGCTTCACAAGAAAGTCACCAGCCTCTTACCTTGCTTTGGAGCCATTGAACTCAAATTTTCCAGCAAAACCATATGTTTCCTTTGGAGTTGCAACATACTTTAAAAAGGCTTAGCAAATAAAGATGTGCCAAACTTATGCAAATCCTTCCAAAAATAAGAAGTATCTTATGAATAATGGCCTTCTCCAGGCTCAGTTTCCAAGTTGTGCAACGGTCTTTTTTAGCTAAATGAACTCCCACTCTTTGTCTTGAACTGCAGCCAAAGACTCTAATTTAAAGCAACTGTCAACTTTGCTATAAAGCTTTCAGAAAAAGTCCACACACACACACAGCAAAAGGGGCAGAAAATCCTCTTGGCTTCCAAACTAAGGAAATGGTTAAATACACTTTAAAATTGTAGCATATTGGGAAGTAAATCTCCCTGAAGTCCATGGGACCATTTTTTTCTGAGCACATTAATCTTAGATTATATTGCAAATCTAAGAGGATAATGTCTTCTAGGCAATAACGTAGAACAATAATTGTGCATATTAATTGTTTAAATCAGGGATTCCCCAACCTCCAGGCTGCAACCCAGTACTGGGCCATGGCACATTCAGAACCAGGTTGTGGAAGTAATGCACAAGCGCAGGTGCACACGTGCAGTTCTATTTGCATGAGTAGTGGATGAGTGCCGCACACAGCTTCATTTGTATGATAGGCATGCGTACATGCCTGTTGCTTGCACAAATAGAGCTGTGCACACCACACACAAAACCATCCCCTCCCCCCTCCCCTGCTGATCCCAAAAGCCAGAAAGCTGGTTTAAATTATCTTATGTTAAAAAAAAATACATAAAAGAAGAGAATCTCTTCCACTTCTGGTGGAAGTGAACTGGGGGGACCAGAACAGAACCTGTGAGTGCAGCTCAGCTAAGGGCACTACCATGTTTCCCTGAAAATAAGACCCACCCAAAAACAAGCCCTAGCCTGATTTGTGGGGTGGGCCTAATATAAGCCCTACCCCAAAAATAAACCTGGGGGATGGACATGGCCAACATGAGAGGCAGCAATTGCACAGGATTCAACAGTTTCTGGCTGCAGCCACTGCCCACTGGCCCCTTGGCCCTGTGCAAATACTGTTAATTCCAAGTGTGCAGGTAGGAGGGGAGGAGACAGGCAATCTGGATGTGCTGTGCAGCTGCCTGACTCATGGGAGACTCGCGGGAGGTTTGTACAACAACACCGGCAGCAGGCAGAGGCATGGGGGATGGGGGAGGGGGAGGCAGGTGATTCTGAATGATCGGCACAGCTGCAGGCAAGCCAAGAGATGGTGCAACAGAGTGGGTGATACATTGGGGTCGCCTCTGGTTCCATCTGGCCCTGCTCCACACTTTTCGCCCAGAGGGAAATGAAGCTTCGTGTGCTTGCAAAGGGAATGCTTTGAAATGAACCTAATTACTCTGTTTCAAACTCTCCTCTTTGCAAGCACACAAAGCTTTAAATTTCTGTCATTTCTTCATCCGGGCAAAAAGTATTTGGTCCTCTATTAGGTGTTCGGGAATGGAACAAATCACTGCTCTGACAGGCACCTGCACAGTGTTGGGATCACCTGCCTCGTCCATCCCCCATGCTTCTGCCTGCTGCTGGTGTCACCACAAAAGTCTCCCATGAGTCTCCCCTGAGTTAGGCAGCTGCACAGCACATCCAGATCTCCTGTCCTCTCCCCCCGCCTATGCCCCCACACTCAGAATTAACAGTTTTTGCACTGCATCAAGGAGAACAAGGCAAGCCGAGAGCTTGGCCCATTGCAGCTGCGGCCAAGCAGACAGCGGGATGGAGAGAGCAGGGCCAGCAGTAGCTGTGATCCCACTCCCATTGGCCCCCATGCTCGCTGCCTCCTGCACTTAAAAAAAACAAGACCTTCCCAAAAATAAGCTCAAGTGCTTATTTTCAAGCCCAAAAGAAAATAAGATGGAGTCTTATTTTTGGGGAAACATGGTAATTCATGACTGTCCAAGGTTTGTGGCTTTAAATTTCACTTCCATTGGATCATTTCAATTGAGAACAGAGTAACCAATTGGATGGGAGAGTTAATTTCACTCCTTCTGGATCATAGCATTGCTGGTTGAATCAGTTGGACAGGACTTCTCAAATCCATCTACAGATTTTTTACAAAACTTCCCTGCACTTCCATATTGTATGTGACCAAACTGAGATATGCAGCTTTTAATACAAAGAGGGTCCTCTTCGTCCCAAGGAGATTCATTTTCAAGAGGTCCAGTTATGAAATAGCATAAGAAATTCAGATGGTCAGCAGCCAGGAAGTCAAAACCTGATAGAACAACAGAATAACAGAGTTGGAAGGGACTTAGAAGACTTAGAATAACTTTATTGTCACTTTCAATGTACACTAATCAGCATACGTTAAAATGAAAATACAGCTCACAAAAAGTCACCACCTCCAATATACACTACATAAACATGATGAAATAAATAAATAGATAATATTATGAAGTTGTTACAGAATCTGATAATCTTGCTAGAAATACTTCAAAACCTCCTTCCAGAGGAGAGCAACAGAAGCAGACCATGTGTGGGGTCTCTAAAAATGCTTAGCACATAATCTAAGCACATAACACTTATAAGCAGTATCCTGTGGCAGCTGAATTTCAAAGCTGACAGGCTTTGTGGATGCCTTACATCCTGAATAACAGAAAGCGAGATTCCTATAATCTTCTCGACTGTCCTTATTACTTTTTGTATGGATTTTCTATCTGAGGCACTGCTGCCACCAAACCAAACAGTGATGCATTTTGTCAAAATGCTCTCAGTCGTGCCTCTGTAAAAAGTGGCCAGGTGTTCTGACCCACACCCTTTTCCAACAAATCAAACACAATCCAAAAGGAACAGACACCTTGTAATGCTTTTGCAAAATAATTAGCTGTGATAAGCACAAGCCTTGCCACACTGTGCAAGACTTGCCAAAAGATAACAGACAAGAAGTAATTTGCAATACAAGAATCTTCAAATACAAACTCAGGATACTGGAACGTCCACGAGGCTGGAGTTTCAAAATGACTTTGCCTTCTGCAAAGTACATTCGTTTCACAGCTGGCTTTTATCTTCTTGAAGGAAGGGCCATTACCTTGCAGTCTTACTCCTGAGTCACCCGTGCTGTTGTAGCTGCTGTTTCCTACGAGCAATCCTGCGTGCGCGCACACTTGGAACAGGCTCCTCGGGAACCTCCTCATCACTGCTGCCAGCCCCCATAATCTCTGAAGGCAGCAGTCCACTCCTTAGGTCCTGGCCCCTCATCTGAGTCCTCACTCTCCTCAGCCGTCCACACCTGCTGCCGGCTAATCACAACACTAGGACAGAAGGAGAAAGATATGTTCTCCTCATCCAACGCAGGAAACGTAGATGCTAGTTTGTACTGTTACTAAGAATGACATGTGGAGAGACCAGATCGTTAGTTATCTGTACCCCCAGATATTTAATACTGTTGACCACCTCTACAGCTGCATCCTTGATACTGAGAGGAATATGACTATGCTAGCTCTTTGTAAAATCTACAATGATCTCCTTTGTTTTATTAACATTTAGAACCAGGTTACTTTTATTGCACCAATCCACCAGAGCCCTCACTTCTTCCCTATAAGCATTTTCACTATCATCCCAGATAAGACCCAGCACTGCCATGTCATTCACATACTTCACAATATGATTCACAGCAGATTTGGCACAACAGTCATGGGTCATCAATGTAAACAGTAGTGGACTCAAGAAACAGCCCTGTGGGGAACTTGTACTCATGAGTATTCTACTGCTCCGGGTGTCCCAAGCTAAGATGAAGCATATAGGAAAGTGCAACATCTATAGAGTGGTTCTTCTGATAGGCAAACTGTAATGAGTCAAATGTAGGGGAAAGGCATGAAACCACGTAGTCCTTTACGAATCTCTCAAAACACTTCATCATAATGCAAGTGAGTGCAACTGGTTAGTAATCATTAAGGTATGTTATTATAGTTTGGGGGGGCACTGGTACAATTATTGCAGTCTTAAAACATGATGAAACCATGGGCTGATGCAATGAGAGATTGAAGAAAATATCTGTGAGAACAGTGGCCAGCTGTTCAGCACAGTCCTTAAGTATTCAGGGATATTATCAGGACCCACAGCTTTTTGAGTATTGGCTTTCTGCAGGACCTTATGAACAGTTGTATCAAACCCGAGCACCTGCTTATCAGGAAGGAGAACAGCCTTCCTTGTTGGAATATTGTTTGTGACCTTGAACCATCCACAAACATACTATGTTTCCCCAAAAATATGACCTACTCAGAAAATAAGTCCTAGCTTGATTTTTACATGTGTGCCCAATATAAGCCCTATCCCCCCAAAATAAGCCCTAATTAAGACCGCCACCCACTCCAGGGCGCACAGATAAAAATTAAGCTAGGCTGGGGGTGGGGGAGGTGGGGCTGCCCTACTACTTACCTTTGGATAGTTGCAGCTAGGCCTCGCACACCTTGGCCCATTTCTTCTGCAGCCAGCAAAGCTTTCCTGAAGGCCTTTCTAGTCGATAACAGAGCTCTGAATCGATCCGGAACTCTGTTATTGGCTGCAGACAAAGAAGTTGGACAAAGAAGTTCCTGAAGGCCTCTGATAGTGAAAAAGAGGCCAGGGGCAACACACACAAGTGAGGTGCATCAGTGGATGATATTCTGCCCCCAAAATAAGACCTGGTGCCTTTTTTGGTGGCAAAAAAAATAAGACGGGGTCTTATTTTTGGGGAAAACATGGGTATCTAGCTTGGTTAGAGAATCCGTGTTACCCTTACATGTCAGGGAAGCTGCCTTATAGTCAATAATAACTCAAATACCTTGCCACATATCTCAGGTCCATAGGATCTTGAAAGAAATGCTGTACTTTCTGACAGCCCACTTTGCTGTTTTTATAGCATGTCTCAAATCAGCGTTTGCTTTTCTAAGTGCTGCCACATCACTTGATTTGAAAGCAGTGTTTCTCACCTTTAATATTGCACAGACCTCCTGAGACATCTAAGGTTTGCTCGCATAGCAATAGTCTTAAGAACACTGACATC